TATTTTTGTGTCATACTGGTATTTTTAATTTAGTTTTAACATTTGAATTTTCATCTAATTTCTGTGATTTTATAATTGTGTGTCATTTCTCTTACTCTGAAGATCTGGATCCCTAACATGATTAGCATAATTACTTGGTTTCACCTACAGTATAAAGGAAATAGTTTCAAAATACCAACATTGATGTTACTACATGGAATAGGGTTTTTTGTTTTTTGATTTTTTTGTTTTGTTTTGTTTTTTCTTCCCAACCAATCTTGCTACGGGTGTACAGTCAAAATACTGTGTTTCTGAAGACCTTGGAATAATTTCTTTTTTTCCAGTTATGTTATTGTTATTTATTAAGTGTTTGTTTATTCAAACTGTTCTTAATTTAAGGAATTTTCAAAATTCTTAAGAAAGATAAACAGAATTCTTGCTTCTAACCTTCAGTATCCCACTCTATTCACCCCTAACCTTTATAGGTTCCTATTTTCATTAGTTTTTTTGTTCATCCTTCCAGGGTTATTTTATTTTATTTTATTTTTTGCAAATACAATGCAGCTAGGTTCTTAGCTTGTAGGTTTATGTTTTTTGTTATAGTGGTTTTATGGGGCTTTCAAGGGAAGCAAAATGACATTTGTGTGTTCAAACTGCTGTCTCATCCTGGAACTCAATCCTTTTGTTTGTGAATCACTTTCACCAGTCACTTGGGGTCGAATGCGCATTCTGCATATGAGAATGCCCACATGATGGGCTCCTCATCAGCTTTGTTCTGTTTTAAATCTGCTGTTGTATTTGTAGTTTTCAAGTGTTTTTAAAATTTTTTAAAGTTTTTTTTTTTTTTAATGTTTATTTTTGAGACAGAGAGAGTTCGCGTGCACTGGCATGTCAGTAGGGGAGGAGCAGAGAGAAGGGGAGAGAGAGGTCTAAGCTGGCTCTGCGCTGTCTGGACAAACCCCAACTGTGCGATCATGACCTGAGCCAAAGTCAGACGCTCATCTGACTGAGCCACCCAGGCGCCCCTAGATTTTTTTTTGAAGTGTTTTCAAAAATGCTTAAGTGACTATGTCATGAATGTCATACTTTCTTTATCTCTTTGAGGATATTATAAAGACTTTTTTTCCTCCCTAATTCTGTTATCTCTGAATTCCTTTCTTGTTTTCAGTCTTGCCTTTCATATTGGAGGCTTTGCTCAAGTGTTTGGTGGTCCTTGGTTCACTGTGAGTGAAATATTTAAAAGCTGATTGGATATACAGGAATATTCAAAACAGTACTGTTTATAATAGCCCCAAACTGGAAACTGCTCCTCAGCAGAAGAATGGGTAAATACATCACGGTCCAGTCATGCGGTGAAACACTACTTCGGAATGAGAGTGAATAAACTGAGCTGCAACACACAGTAGGTGACCCACAGACAAGAGCTTTGGGTGAGAGAAACCGGTCACTCAGGAGTCATATTGTAGCTTCTGTTCGTTTAAAGGTGGAAACCAGGCAAACCTAATCTGTGGTGTTACGAGGTCAGGATGGCCCTTCTGAGGGGCCTTCTGGGATGCGGTTCGTGTTCTGGTTTTTGAGCTGGGTCTGGTTAAAGTGTGTTCACTTTGTGTAATTTCATTGAGCTGTACAGTAGATTTGTGTGCTTTTCGGTATGTGTGTTAGGCTTCAAATAAAAGTTTACCTGAAGTAAAAAAGAAAACTAGTTGACTCTCCATATGGACAGGATTTACTGACTGATGCCCACAGAGTGTGGTCACCCTGGGCATCCAGGTGACACCTCTTTGGAGACCTCTGAATGTCAGTGTCTGAAGATGGGAACTAGACATATTTTTTTTTATGTTTATTTACTGAGAGTACGTGTGCACGTGTGAGTGGGGGAGAAGCACAGATGGGGAGAGAGAATCCCAGGCAGGCTCTGAGCCGGGGTAAGAACGGTGAGATCATGACCTGAGTTGAAATCAAGAGTCAGACACTTAACTGACTAAGCCACCCAGGCACCCCTAGAAATGTTTGCTCTTTCTGCTGTGTCTATCTGGAAGTCCTTAGTTCTCTTTTTTTACCAAGGCCTCTTTTGATTATTATTTTGTTTAATGTTTATTTTTGAGAGAGAGACAGACAGAGCACAAGCAGGGGAGGGGCAGAGAGAGAGGGAGACGCAGAATCTGAAGCAGACTTCAGGCTCTGAGCTGTTCAGCACAGAACCCGACCTGGGGCTTGAACCCATGAATCATGAGATCATGACCTGAGCCAAAGTCAGACGCTTAACCTACTGAGCCACCCAGACGCCCCTCTTTTGATTTCTTTTGAACAATATCCAAGTTGTTGTGGGAACATTAATTTCTTCTTTCAAGTATACAGTAGTAGAATTGGAATTTCTGTTCATTCATTCTTTGATTCATTCATTCAGCAAAGACTTTAACAAAACAAGATACGTATCCTCTTGTTTTTTTTTTTTTTTACAAATAGTTTATTGTCAAATTAGTTTCTACATAACACTCAGTGCTCATCCCCAAAGTGCCCTCCTCCATGCCCATCCCCCCCTCCCCCCCACACCCATCAGACGTATCCTCTTGTTTTATATAACAGCAGGTATTGTAAACATCAAATATAAGTAGGTTGAGTTATAGAGGGAAATGTGGACAATGTGGAAGCCTAGAATAGGGGAGACTTCCCTAAGGAAATGATATTTTAGTTAGACAAAGAATAGAGGAAACTACTAGACTTTATTTTTCATTAAAATGTCTTGTCTCGATGTGTCTGACCACCCTATTATGTGTGTGATTTCAGGTGGAGAGTATAGTGAAGATGATGTAAATGAATTAGTGAAGGAAGATGAAGTGGATGGTGAAGAGCAGACACAGAAAACCAAAGGGAAAAAAAGAAAGGCTCAGAGCATTCCGGCCAGGTGATGCTGCCCTCCAGGTCCTCAGAAGTCAGGGGCTGTTGTCACAGCTATGCAGACGGTTGGGACTGGTCTGATGAGTTCTTCTACCAGGGTTTCTTACCTTTGTCTTTCCAAGGGAAACATTTAGTGACATTTTAGGATTAAATTCTCAGTCTCTGGCAAGCTTCAAGAATTTTTGAGCTTTAATTGAAAACATGTAATAAGTAACATGTACACATGATTAAAATTAAAAACTCAAATACAGCAAAAATGTGTACCCTGTTCTTAATTCTGGTTGCTTTGCCTCAGAAGAGCTGTGTTGCCAGAGATATTGTGTGTATGTATGTGTATATTTCCTCCTCGTGAAAAACACAAAACAGAAGAGTGGTATACTCTATGTCTGGTTTCTTATTTTCACTGTCTCACATCTAGCCAGTGATATGACAGCAGTACAGTTAGCTATACCTTCTTCTTTCCAGTGACGACATAGTGTTACATTAGGTGGCTACACCTTGTGTTATTTAAGCATTCCCTTATTGAAGGACATTTAGATGGTACCTTGTCTTTACCTCAGCAAATAAGACTGCAGTGAATATTCTTTGTAATGTCTTTATACAGGTACAAATATATCTGTAAAACGGATCTGTAGAAGTAGAATCGTTTGATCCAAGGTTATGTGCAGTAAAGAAAATTTTTTTAATAAATATTAACAAATTACATTCCATAGGCCGGGTACTGAATTACACTCCTCTCCCCCTCCAAATTATAAAAATTCTTTAAAAAAATTTTTTTTTAATGTTTTATTTATTTCTGAGAGAGAGAGACAGCGTGAGCAGGGGAGGGTCAGAGAGAGGGAGTTACAGAATCCGATATAGCCTCCAAGCTAGCTGTCAACACAGAGCCCGACACGGGGCTCGAACCCACGAGCTGTGAGATCATGACCTGAGCCGAAGTCGGACGCCCAACTGACTGAGCCACGCAGGTGCCCCCAAATTATGAAAATTCTCACAGAAGTCTTTTATCTCTCTTTGATTGGTATTTCTGTCTTTTTGGGCATTGAAGCAAAAAAGCAGATTATAGTTTTTAAAAAGGGAAAAAAATTTTCGTAATGAAAATTGAAGTCAGAATAATCTAAGAAGCAATTTACTCTTTTAGGTCTTGGGCCCAGTTCTTTGGTCTTTGAGTTTTTTGTATTTCAGCTTTCATATTTTCAAAAAGTGGGAAGAAAAAAAAAACAAAACGTGAATTTTTTTTTTTTTTTAATCCCCTGAGAACTCAGGGAAGAAACAGTGCCAATAAATTTGATGCTCTCCTCACTAGAACATGGTCTCCAATTGGAGTATATGTTCTTGGAGCACAGTTCCTGGACAGATTGATCCTGTGAGGTGATTTTGGGTGTTTTCTTGGTGAAAATAGCTGGTCCTGATTTAGAAGTAGAACACTATATTTTGAGTCTAAGTGTTTGGGGAAATTGCTAACGTAAGAGCTCAATTCTTTTCTTCCACAAATCTCAGCTTCCCTCCCCTGCTTTTCCCAGGGTGGGTGTTAATTAGTAGTCCCCAGATTTTAAAGTTTTCTCGGATTTGCAACTGTATGTTTGAAATCAAGGAAGGGATAACTGAAATAATTTTGCATTATCTGTCTTGTCTTTCCTTTTCCTGTGACTGTTGGTGATGTAGGAAGAGAAAACAAGGTGGCCTCTCCTTAGAAGAAGAGGATGAGGAAGATGCTAACGAGGACTCGGAGGGAAGTAGCAGTGAGGAGGAAGAAGACGCAGCTGCAGAGCAGGAAAAGGGCATTGGGGCAGATGATGCAAGGAAGAAGAAGGAGGATGAACTGTGGGCCAGCTTCCTCAATGATGTAGGACCAAAGCCAAAAGTGCCCCCAAATACACAAGTTAAAGTAAGTCGATAGCCGAATGATGTGTAGGCTTTCCCAGAAATGCCCTGAGTTCCCCAGATAGACTGTTATTTCCAAACTCAGATTTGATGCTCACAGCCAAAGTCAGGCCAGAAGCCTTTTGATAAGAATTCTTCTAAGTGAAAAGCAGAACTTTCCCTATGGTAGAAAAAGTAAGCCTTTCTAATCAAATTTCTTGTAGGTCTTCAGTTGTTTGGAGATGAAACATTTAAGAATAGCTATAAATAGGGGCGCCTGGGTGGCTCAGTCGGTTGAGCATCCGACTTTGTCTCAGGTCATGATCTCACAGTTCGTGGGTTTGAGCCCCGTGTCGGGCTCTGCGCTGACAGCTAGCTCAGAGCCTGACAGCTATCTCAGAGCCTGGAGCCTGTTTCGGATTCTGTATCTCCCTCTCTCTGACCCTCCCCTGCTCATGCTGTCTCTCTCTCTCTCTCTTTCTCTCTCTCAGAAATAAATAAAACAAAAAAAAAAGAATAGCCATAAATAGCATGTTGGGATGGTTCTTTTAGGTTTCATCCTTATGTGAAACTGTGATAGCATCTCTTACCTTTTTCATAGAGTGGAGAGAAGACTGAGGAGACAGGTTCAAGTAAATTGTTGGTCAGAGCAGAAGAGCTGGAGAAACCTAAAGAAACTGAAAAAGTTAAAATCACCAAGGTGTTTGATTTTGCTGGTGAAGAAGTCAGGTAAGATGACCGTTAGAAACTGCGAAACTAGTCCTTTTAAATATGATCATCTTTCTAAATGGTGTTAGACATCTGGCATCATTCCACCCTATCATTATAATATTTTGGGAGAGTTTTCTTTTTCCATCCAGGGAACATAGGAACATGATGTACTTGTAGGTATTGTGAAGTGTTTGGCTGAACAGCAACAAGAAGATGTAAGAGTGAAGTATTCGGTTCCACTTATTGTCATGCTTTGTGACTTTGGCTGAGTCATTTCTCTCAAGAGTCATTTCTCCCAAGTCATTTCTCTTATTTTCACCCAAAATTACATCTTGGAAAAAAAAATTTAACATTATTAGTTTTATAAATGGCGTGGAGCAAAACTTTTTATTATTTTTTAAAAATATTTTCTCCCCAACTTTTCCTTCTGAAAGATTTCACACAGACTCATGCTACAAGAGTTAGTAGTACAATGAGCACCCGTATTCCTGAATGTGGAGTACACATTCACTACTTTGCAAGGTTTTGCCTCTGTCTCTACCACCTAGATCTGTATGTCTCTTTTTTTGTTTTGGCTAAATCATTTGAGAATTGCTTGTAGTCATCATGACACTTCACTCTTAAATACTTTAGCATAGTTTCCTAAGAACATGGGCATTCTTCTTCATGATATAACATAACTGTTACATCCACTAAATTTCATATTAATGGACATTATTATCTAAATATGTGGTAAAGGATGCTAATTTAAAAATTTCAACCTATAGCAGACCAGTACTCTTATAAAACTCAGTAAAAAGGAATTGCTCGAAAAATAAATTTAAAAGACATAGAAAATACAAGCCCAAATGTTTAACAATGAGATTCAACAGATATAAAATTACCTTTCAATAAATATAGTCTAAATGAACATCAAATAGGAATAGGAAGAGATTTATGTCACTATACATGCTGTTTATTGAAGGTGGGAGTATAATTAGTACAAGGAATCACTTTGTTCTGTTTATACCTTTACTTTATTCTATAATAAAAACAAAAAGCTAAGAATAAAATATCAATTCTTAACATCAGTAGCTTAACATCTAGATGCACACTTTTGAATACATACTTGTATATATTAATTTTTAGCTTTTAATGTGACAAAATAGCTCATTTCTTTATTTATTGTGTCTCTGTTGGATACATGGCAGCGCTACCAGAAGATAATGGATATGTAAATTGTTTCTGTGTTTTCTTTCTTTTAATAATGCTCATCATGAACTCATCTCACAGATAGTTTTGTGAGGATGGAGGTATAGATTTTAAAGCTGTTTCAGTAAGTTCAAGATTTTAATTTTTACTTTTATACAGCTTGAAGTCGGTGATACTGTATTTTCAAAGTTATCTTCAGTGCTTCATCTGTAGCCAGTTCTAACAATTTGTCAAGTTATAAGTAAATTTAAGTTATATTTCAGTGGAAAACAGGAATTCTGCATGCGTGAATTCCCTGTGTGTGGCTATTCTTTTGACAGAAAGTAGAATTCAAAACTTTCAGTGAGACATGTTAATCTGTAGAAACTCTGTCCTTCCAGGCTTCTGGTTTTCATTTTTACTTACAGTTTATTTGCTACTGAAAATCGTGTTGAATCATTTCCTTGCATGGAAGTACTAAGATTATTAAATATACCAAAGGTCAGACTAATAAGCCAAGTTATACTGTCTAATTGAGATCTTTAAAATTGGAGACCAACTGGTGTCTTTCATTTATATTTATTAAAAAAATTTTTTTAATGTTTACTTATTTTTGAGAAGGAGAGTGAGACAGAGCACAACCAAGGGAGGGACAGAGAGAGAGAAGGAAATACAGAATCAGGAGCAGGCTCCAGGCTCCAAGCTGTCAGCACAGAGCCTGATGCGGGGCTCGAACCCACAGACCGTGAGATCATGACATGAGAGAAAGTCAGATACTCAACCGACTGAGCCACCCAGGCGCCTCAGGACCAACTGATGTTTTTCTTTTAAAGACACTAAGCTTATTCTGAAGCTCATTATTGTCAACAGCATTTTTCCCTTTCATAACCATTGTACCTCAGCATGCAATATAACGTGTGCACATTTCTGCTCAGCTTTCAGCTTCGCACATATAAAGACAGGCATTGAAAAATGTAATGCATTAGCCTTACATAATTTATAATTTTTACTGCTATACCAAGAACAGTGGGGTTGTTTGTTTTGGTAGCAGAATTTTTCTCAGTGAAGGAAGTAGTGTGTTAATTTTATGTTCTACTATCACAAGCCCCTTAATCTAATCTGTTTTCCTGTCTTGCAGCTGTGCCATTAGAACATACTCTTCCAGGGGCGCCTGGGTGGCTTAGTCGGTTAAGCGTCCGACTTTCGCTTAGGTCATGATCTCGCGGTTCGTGGGTTCGAGCCCCGCGTCGGGCTCTGTGCTGACTGCCAGCTCAGAGCCTGGAGCCTGTTTCAGTCTGTGACTTCCTCTCTCTCTGACCTTCCCCTGCTCACGCTGTCTCTCTCTCTTAGAAATAAATAAAACATTTAAAAAAAAAAAAAACATACTCTTCCATGTACTTAAATTCCAAAGCACATTTGTTCAAAGTGTAATCCTAGTTTTATTATACAGATCAGTGTCAGTTAATGCTTGGCAATCAGATACTGATAAAAGAGTCTTTTACATCACCCTCATGTTTAAATCACACATCTATCATGATAATTTTCATGTTGGTAATAACCTGGCATTCTTTAAATTGCATTGAAAAAACATTTTGCTAACTTTATTATCATTCGCATCATCATAAGCCAGATCTTGAAGCCTTCAAGCTGTGGTGTCATTGGAGAGTTGTACTCGAATCACCTTCTTTTTAAAAAGAAAACATTTTTTAATGTTTTATTTAATTCTGGAGGGAGAGAGAGAGACAGACAGCGTGAGCAGGGGAGGGTCAGAGAGAGAGGGAGACATAGAATCTGAAGCAGGCTCCAGGCTCTCAGCTGTCAGCACAGAGCCTGACGAGGGTCTCGAACTCAGGAACTGTGAGATCATGACCTGAGCCAAAGTCGGACGCTCAACAAACTGAGCCACTCAGGCGCCCCTGAATCACCTTCTTTATCACAGATTCACCAAGCTTTCCAAGCAGACATCTTCCATAAAGTTTTTGACTAATGTCTTGGCGGTGGCTTATTCTTTTTTAGTTAACAACCAAAAGTGCCTTTCTCAGAGGACTGCAATGCACTAATTGTTAATGTATGGAATTTTGCATCTGTTTCTATTGGCTTTTTAGATCAGTACTTTTTCTTTGAAAGAATTGTTTTGATTTTGAATTTATGATTTGTATGTAAATGCCACTGAAGTTTTGATGAATTCATTGCTTCATTAGCCAAAACATCTGCAAAGAACTCACTGTGGTTTTAGCACTACATGATCAAAAACCAAACTCAGCATGTTAGTGCTCATAAGGTAAAAGCAGTTTGACTATTGATTGGCTTTTGTTTCTTTGGAATCACTTCCATCATCACGTGGTTTACTCCTGCTGCATTCAGAGAAACAGAAAAAGCTTTGTTTTCTTTACAGGAATATACAGGGAAGCTTGTTTTGCCATCAGTACGTTAAGATTAAGAAAATACTACTAATTTTACTCTCTTAATTTTAAACTATAAATTTGAAAAGTCACACTTGGTTAACAATTAAAATGATCGTAGAAGTAAATTATAAAAATAAATGCTTACATTTTATCACATTTTGGGATTTTGATAAAATAACCCTAAACTATCACATGCATTATAATAATGTCTCACTATGCATGACTAATACACTGATGTCACGTATGACCACCTTGCAAGTTTGACAGTATCCAGATTGCTCTGTATTCTGCTTAATATAATGAGTCCACCAATCATGTCTTGAATATTGTGACTTAGATTTCTAAACAAATTTTTAAATACTTACATTTTCTGTACCCATCTTATTTTGGACCAATAACAGGTTTATAGCCCACATTTTAAGTAGCTCTATATATACTGCTACTCAAGTTTTTTTTTTAACCAATTATTCCAATGATAAATTCTTTTATACCTTTATTTCTTGTGCAAGTCCAATATCCAGTCCAAGATGACACTCTGCATTTCGTCTTTTTAGTCTTGTTAAGCTCCTTTTTTGAGCCTTTCATTTAAGTATTTCATGACACTGGTATATAGAGTTGACGCGTAGACTACACAGGTTTGAACTACATGGTCCATTTGTAAGTAGATTTTTTTTTTTCACTAAATACAGCACAGTACCATAAATGTATTTTCCTTATGATTTTCTTAGTAACATTTTTTTTTCTAGTGTAGTTTATTGTAAGAATACGATATGTAATGCATATACAAAATACAATGTGTTAATTGACTACTTATGTTATCTATGAGGCTTCCAGTCAGCAGTAGGGTTTTAGTGGTTAATTTTGGGGGGAGTCAAAAGTTAAACGTGGATTTTGGACTATGAGGTGGGCAGGTGGCAGCTTTTTTAAGGGTTGGTTGTATGTTTTGTGTGTGTGTGTGTGTGTGTGTGTGTTTAATGTTTATTTTTGTGGGAGTGACAAACAGCACAAGCTGGGGAGGGCAGAGAGAGAGGAAAACACAGAATTGAGGTAGGCTCCAGGCTCTGAACTGTCAGCACAGAGCCCAACATAGGGCTCAAACTCACGAACTGTGAGATCATGACCTGAGCAGAAGTCAGATGCTTGACTGAGCCATCCAGACACTCCATCATTTGTATGTTTTTAAGAGTCTATCTGTTTTGCAGGATGTTCCTCAGTTTGGAATTTTACAGTTTATTCTTGATTAGCTTCAGATTAGTCACCTAGACAAAAATGCTATCTTGGTGATGTTTTTCTTCCCCAATACATTACATCAATAACAATAAGTTAGACCACTTAGGCAATATCTGTCAGAATTTTCCATTGTAAAGACACTCATTCCTTGATAATCAGTCATTTTGGGATCCATCAGATAATTCTTGATGATGTGAATTAGTAATGTTATTT